GAAATTTGCACTTAAAGTTAGCGATGTTTATTAGGATTACACATGTATGTCCATTTTATTAACTGATGTACGTAATTAATTATCCCTTAGAGAACATCAAATTGAATGAAAGGCTTCGTCACAATACTCACCGATCGTCTGAATTAATCTTAAATCGGGTTGAATCAGCAATCAGAAACCGAACATTTTCTTTGAGATTTCAGTATCTCAAAACCACCAGCAATCTTTTGTAATTTTGGTTCTCTCTCGACTAAACTCGACAAAGATTTCGACATTCCAAAACGACAAAATATTTCGAAATGCTATCTCCTAGAGTCCTAGTTCGATTGGACTATTTGGGCTATTTCTATACTTGCTTAGTTCAAATTGGGTTCTATTATGTATACGTATGAAGGCTTGTTTTGAGGTATATCTAGTGTGGGCTTTTTAAAATATCAAATGGGCTTCTCTTGTTTAACTTATAATCTTTCTCTAAGGATTCAGATCAAAATGATTCTTTCTCACACGTTTCGATTGAATGTACACACCATTACACATATCTTATCACGTAATAATTTCAATAATCATGAATCTTAATTGTTTCCAAATGTTAATGTTGAACAGCATATTATGTGGTAATAAGAGAATTTGCTCTCTTTTTTCTTCTTGCATAATAGTAGTCACGTCTTAGGTTGCATAGAATCAGTAGCGGGTACGCGGAAGCGAAGTATTTGGAAGCGGAGAATTAATTTTCTACAATTTTTTAGGAAGCAAGTATGTGTTGGAAGCGTGTGTGTATATATATATACAGTGGCGGAGGCACATTAACTAAGATGGAGGCCAATGAACCCAACGAAATTTTTTATATTAGTGTAAATTATCAAAGCCCAATATTAATGCCCCCACTTGTTGAAAATCTTTTGCCCCCATCTCTTTATTTCACCAACTTGAAAATTCATGAACATGTATTTTTAATCCAAAATAAACTATTCAACAAAAAAAAATCCCTTAAATCAAAGCCTAAATAGTAATTATATCACTATATGAGCCATTCATTGATTATCTAAACCTTGAAAAAAGCATCAGCAACATCGATTACGTTTTATGGTTACGCTGTTTGAGTTTTCACATTCTATTTATGTAGTTTTATATTTCTCTCAGTATTTATGTCCCCGACGAAAAAATATTCTGCCTCCGCCACTGTAG